ACTTGGTCCCAAGGGATGGTTTCCATACCTCCTCCCTCAAAGGTCAGGAGGAGGCTGTCCTTCCCAGGTATTGACCCTGAGATAGTACGATTTTGCCACTTTCGTCCTGCTTGCAGATCTTTCCAATAATGGCAGTAGTTAGCCTCAGTCAAGAAGACAGCATGATCTAATCCGATCTTGCTGAACTTCTCGTAGGTCATTCCCTCTTCCTTTGTTCGAGGATACAATTGAGAGGGAATAGGATCAGGGAGTGCACATGCAAAGCTATTCAGAATTTGTGTGGGGGTTAAACCATGCTCAATGCTTTGCTGCAGCAATTCATCGATAGTAGATTTGAGTGCTGAAGTGCTTTTCCACTCTCCTTCAGGTAGATTTAACACTAACATTTCGGTCCGACGGGCCAAGTTCTTGTCCTCGAACCATTCTCTGACGGCTTTGAGGAAATCTTTAAGACGAGTTTTCTGATAATATTCTACTAATGCCTCGCATCCCGCTTCTTTTTGCAAAGAGATCGCAAAGCTCATTGCGTCTCCTGCCATGCATGAACTGGCCATAAGCACTCTGTCCCAAAATGGAACTCGCTGTCCATAACAATAGGATTCGATTGCCGCAATCCAGTGCAAAACACTTTTTTTTTTTTTACCATTATAGGTCCACGACAATTTCAGCTTAATCTTGTTTGCTTTCCCCACATCTCCTTCTTCACGCTGCACCCCTTTCTTCTTCTTATCTCCATCGTCTCCATCATCGCCGCCGTCCCCTCCTCCACCTCCGGCTCCTTTCACTATCTTCTCGATTACTTCCGGTGTGAAGGTATTAGTAATGTGCTCATCTAGCTTTACAATATAGGATTGGCTTGTCCACATCTTCCACTGACTTGTGCAGAAAGGTATTTCAGACGCTTTCAAACTCTACTCGATGAGTCTCCACCTTCTGCAACGTCTGATTCATTGCTGTCATCGCCTTTCTTGTCTGGAGGAGGGACTCTCTGAGAAGGGTAAGTTGCTCATCTGTCGCTGTTTGTTTTTCTTTCTGCGCTTCTAACTCTTTTTGCAACTTTTCACCCTCTGCCTGCAGCTTCTTTTTTTCTTCTAATTCTTGTCCCTTTGCTGCTAACAATTTGACATGCAATTCTGCTCTCTTTTCCTCCAGCATCAAATCTCTTTCTGTTTTGTCCGTAATCGTTGCTAACTTGGCTATGAACACATCTCTCTCCTCTTCCGATTCTTGGATCTGGTCGCTGGAGTAGCCGTGCTGGTTGGCCCAGTCCAATGGCTGCGTGCGTGCCTCAGCGGCACGACTACTCTCAGCCTTATCAGTGGGTCGGCGTCGTTGCAATTTATCCCCTTCGTCCTTCTCTTCTTCTTCTTCTTCTTCTTCTTCTTCCTGTATACTTTTCATTTCTTTTTCCAATTCCTTTTCCATCTTTTCTTTCAACTTCTTCCTCAATTCTTCTTCTTTCTGTTTTTTCTTGTCTTCCCTTTCTTTCTTTTTCTCTGCCTGCCGGCGATCAATCTCCTTCTGTTCTTCAGGAGTGGGGCCCAGCTTGATGTTCCCTGACCTCAGCATCATCCGAGAGGTGCAGACTCTCCCAATTCCCAACAGGAAAAAGATGCGGAACAGGGGCCCCATGAGAACAGACAGGGCCATCAGGCCCTGCATGGGATAGTCGTCCATGGCAGTAGTCAACACAGGAATAGCCTCCGCTGATCTGCCAAGTGACTATCCCAGTCACAACTCACTAAACTCTGACCTGTGGCAATGTGGCAATGAGGATGTATACACTACGCTATCGCGCGGTCCACGCTGCTCACTCGCGCCGCTCTTGTTTTGAAGATGCTGCTCCACACGCCGCCTCCTGCTTCGTTTGCTCCCTACGCTGAGCCATATGAAATCTTATCAGTTTCCGTAGAAACTTATACGCTACGACGCACTTGCAAAAGGCTGGCGTACCCCCTTGCA